AATAACTGTTCAATTCAGTGGTACAAACAGTAGGTTCTCTGGGTTAAATAGAGAGTGGGAATATTTAAAAGGGACTTCCTGGAGGAGTTGGGAAACCAGAGAGGATGGAGGATATGAAAATGGTATGACCAAAAGCACAGAAGTGTGAAAGCCCCATTTGTTCAGGATTTCAGGATTTTTCGAGAGAACTAGTGGGAAATAGGGTAGAAAGATAAGGCAGAGCTGGAATAGGATGTCAGCCACTGCCTGCCCCAGCTCAGCCAAGTAATAGGTAATTAAAGATGGGAAGTCAGCAACTTCAACTCAATCCATGGGACAGTAAAAACCAAGTCTTTCAGTATCTTAGGTGCCTCATCCTCTTACCTTGCTAGGGTCTGGGGTTCGTGGCAAAGGGTTTGAAACTAACATGGCAAGCCAGGAAGCAATTGAGTAGGTCCTGGAAAAAAAGAGAGAATTGTGATGTTAAGAGTAATGTCTTTTTAAAAATTTTTTAAATTTGTTTTACATCTTTATTAGAGTATCGTTGCTTTACAATGCTGTGTTAGTTTCTGCTGTGTAACAGAGTGAATCAGCTATATGTATACATATATCCCCATATCTCCTCCCTCTTGTGTCTCCCTCCCACCCTCCCTATCCCACCCCTCCAGGGGGTCACATAGCACCCAGCTGATCTCCCTGTGCTATTTATCTGCTTCCCACTAGACATCTATTTTACATTTGGTAGTGTGTATATATCAATGCTACTCTCTCACTTTGTCCCAACTTCCCCTTCCCCCCGCCGTGTCCTCAAGTCCATTCTCCATCTCTGCATCTTTATTCCTGTCCTGCCCCTAGGTTCATCAGAACCATTTTTTTTTTTTTTAGATTCCATATATATGTGTTAGCATATGGTATTTGTTTTTCTCTTTCTGACTTACTTCACTCTGTATGACAGTGTCTAGGTCCGTCCACCTCACTACAAATAACTGAATTTTGTTTCTTTTTATGACTGAGACTTACATTATATTTTATTATATTTTTATATATAACATAGTATAATTATATATTATATATAATATAGTATATATTATATACTGTATTGTATTATATTTATATTCCATTGTATATATGTGCCACATCTTCTTTATCCATTCATCTGTCGATGGACACTTAGGTTGCTTCCATGTCCTGGCTATTGTAAATAGTGCTGCAGTGAACATTGTGGTACATGTCCCTCTTTGAATTATGGTTTTCTCTGGGTATATGCCCAGTAGTGGGATTGCTGGGTCGTGTGGTAGTTCTATTTTTAGTTTTTTAAGGAGCCTCCATACTGTTCTCCATAGTGGCTGTATCAATTTACATTCCCAGCAACAGTGCAAGAGGGTTCCCTTTTCTCCACACCCTCTCCAGCATTTATTGTTACCACGTGGATTGTCACCACCCCTGTCCCAACTGTCAAACATTCTTGAGTTGTTTTTCAGAGTGGGTATGAGGGAAATAGATACTTTCTTCTCCCTTCACGTATGCCTACTACTCAGCAACAAGCCCCAACCATCAACCTCTTACACTTAACTTCTAACATAGACATCTGCGGGATGCCTGCCTGGACAAGACGGTAGGTGGGACAGAAGGAATTTATTTAGTCTGTTTAAAAATGGAACTTGTAACTCTGGCTTTCTGGCACAGAGCTCCTTGGCCTAAACTCCTTTGTAAATAATGAGCATCTTTCTTCAGTTAATAAAATACTGGTTGGATGTTTCTGTGGAGACCGCTTTGAAGATTTGGTTGAATCAGAGGAACATCTCACCAAGAGATGCTCCCATTACAGTAAATGGCTTCATAGAACGCAGGCCTAGGGGTTCTGAAAGTAGAACATTCTAGGTTAGGATTCCACCTCTCCCATGTAAAATAGGGCTGGTCCTTGCAAAGTTGTGTAAGTGATTAGAAACAGTTTATATAAAGTACCTGGTACATGGATATTCAGTAGAGGGTAGACGTTGTAAATAACATCTACATTTTAAATAGGTTCCTCCTCCTGAGTTGGGGGTTTGCTATGTTGCATTAATTCTGTTAGATGGTTTTAAATTAATAAGGTGGCACAGATGGATGGTAACTACCTCAGGCAACATTCTCTGCAAGCAGTGACCCCACGAAGCCATCCTGGCAGGGGCAGGCCTTGTGCACACTCAAGCTCACACAGTCACTGACAGGAAAAAAAATCTTTTTATTTTTGCTTCGCTGAGAAGGTGGTACTGAATGCTTTCTTCCACTGGGAAATCAATTTCAGTGTGCAGCGGATCTAAGCAAGTGAGGTCGTACTACTGCTTTTCTAAAAGAGACACGTACTTCTGTTTTTATTAATCATGGAACTGACACAAGCCTGGTAGAATTTGTAAGAAGGAAACATGCTCGCTCTCCTTGCTGTATCTACTGCCTTCTAGAAATTAAGAGAGAAGAAGGGATTTTTGTCTTCCAGTCTAGAAACCATACCCTCTTCTGGTTTAAACCAAGCAAGCAACCTCATGTCCTTGGAGACCTGCCATATATGAGTTTCTGGAGTAAAAGGAATTTTCAGAGATTTTTGTCGGCTGTCACTTTTGAAGGCAAAGTAACAAAGCCATGATGCCAAGAGATGCCTGAAATAGCAGTGCATGTAATTATGGGGCTAGATGCTTCCTTGTCACAAGCTTGGGAACATGTTCTTTTTGGAGTTGAATCTAATATTAAGGACCATTGATGTGGACGATGCGAGGTTTTTATTCTGTACTGGGGTTTTCTGATATATGTAGTGCAGCTCACTTTAACGTAGTGAGATACAACAAAAATCTCAACATAAAACACACCAGTGTTGGATGAGAAGAGTATTAGGATCAGAATTAACTTGTTTTATAAAATGATTATCTGCAAAGTTTCTGTAAACAGCAGTTATTTCTTATCCTTTTGAACTTGGTTTGACCACCCCATTTTTTTTTTTTAACATGCAACCTTCTTACACACAGAAGTGATTGTATGAAGTGGAGTATAGCCCCATGGAGCTCCATGATGGGTCAGTCGTTACCTTCATGCAGGTAGGAGGCTGCAGAGGTTTGTGGTCCGTTTTTTGCCTCTGCTGAGCATTCTACACCAATAACCAAGCAGCCTGTAGGGGGCAGCAGAATGCCAAATAAAACACCTGTTCCTGGGGCTGGCAGGCTTTTCTGGCTCATTGCCCGCCCCTTCTTGGTCCATGATGCAGCACCCACCCTTCTCCCCTTTGCCTGGCAAAATTCATCCTCTAGGCCTTGCCAGGGTGGGGACCTTTACCATTAAGCCTCCCATAACCCACTCGCCTCCACTGACCCTGTTCTCCTCCACACTCTTAAGCCGTCCTGGTATACTTTCTACCGTATCATATAGCAAACAAGTACCATATCAGCTTAATGATGGGACTTGTTTGCTATTGTTTCACAACCAGCTATACCTGTCCTTTGGGCAGGAACAACGTCTCATGTCTCTGCGTTGCTCATAATGCCAGGCCTGCCCTGGAGGCCTAAATAAATGCTTGACAGCAGATGGAGGATTCCTTAATCGGTAGTGAGTGCTTGATGCGCATTTGCTAACTTGATTGTCAAGATGGTCTTGTTTGTGCACAAGAGAAAGTATTTTTTTGCTTCGCTTGTTTCTGAAATACCTACACTCTCACATCCTTTCCGGTTTGTTTCAGATTGGGATGTAAGATAGGAGGGCTTTCAAAATAAACCCAGGGGTGTAATGGAAAACATTAACTCTGGTGCCATAGTCGCAGATTTGCATCTAGGCTCTTCCCCTTCTCAGCCCGTTTTTCTCACCCAGATAGTGGGGCTAGCTAAGCTGATCACATAAGCTACCGTCTAACCTGGAACACCTTGGAAGGTGAGGGAGGACATTTAAAAATACTTATAGTCACATAGTCTTTAGAAGTATTTATTGACTGGGGAATGGTTTTTATTTTGTTTTTTTCGGCTTTCCTATAAAACTGTTCTATTCGAAAATGATTTTAAAGATAACATTTCTGACAAAATATTAAAATAATATATAAACAAGACAACTTGTCCATGGGTTGGCATGCTAGAACAGCATATGGTGTTTCAAAGAATCAAGCTGAGTGATCCATGGAAAGTGTCTAGTGCCGTGCCTGGGACACACTGTGTATTCAGGGAATGATGATTTCCTTCTCCTTCGTGGAAGAAGGTTGGGCAAAGAAGCACTGACCAGCAGTAAACAAAGGCCTATGGGCTTTTTAAAAAAGGCTGCTGTAAGGAGGGCGTGTTCCTAGTTGTCCAGATCCTGACAACCCAAGATGTGAGTTTTGCCCAACTCTAGCAGGAACATACTGATTGAAGAACACGGCTCTGTGGGTATGTAGTCGGACAGCTGTCTCAACAGTAGAGAACATACCCGAGGGATGGCTGTAGCTTTCGGGTGATAAGTTGGCTGCCCTGTGAGCACAGTGCGAATTCATACTGCTTCTGGGCACCTTCCCAGGAAAGCACGAGGGTCTGGCCTTGGCCCCCCTCTTCTGCAGGAGCTGTCCTGCCATTTAGGGGCCTGAATTCAGCAACTGTGCTTAAATACTGGGTTTACCAGAAACTTAATAGTTTTGAACTGTAAAATACATAGCTGCCTTGAAGTCTGGTGTCCTCATGTAACCAGAAACTTAACTGCCATTCTGTGAGTGAGCTTCTACGGTGGGGTGCATCCCTTTTAGAAACTCTAAATTCAGTACTCCTCACCCTGCCTCCTATAAGTGCTATTTTGCTCGAGTAGTGAGAGCTCTTTAGCCTGTGTGTTCATTTAAGCTAAAGCCCCTCAGAGCTGAGGTTTATGTATTGCCACCTCCGTGTGTGATGGAGAATTCAGGGAGTGCTCTGTGGCTTCCTGGAAGTCAGGAAGGGTCTGCACACAGTGAACAGCAATGTGTGATGGGAGAATCAAGCCCGGGAGAAAGCGGTATTGCCGGGACAGCCCTCCACATGGTTCCTAAAAGCCTCTTCTGTCTCTAGGTATGTGTACATTCCAGCGGGCGGGTCCCAGCACGGCCTGCTAGGGACACTGTTTTCCACTGCAATGACGTTTGCGTTTGTGAGCTTCTGGCATGGTGGGAATGACTACCTCTGGTGCTGGGCAACACTCAACTGGCTGGGAGTCACCGTGGAGAACGGAGTCCAGAGGCTTGTGCAGGCGCCACGTGTCCAGGACAGCTTGGTGAGCTGGGTCCACGCTCGGTGGACTGGGTTTGGGAGGGAAGGCGGTCATCACGTTTACCCCATTGTGGGTCATTCCTGCTAGATTGGTTCAAAACTTGTGTGCCCAGAGGTAGGACAGCTGAAAAAGAGGCTTCTGTAGCTATTTTTTTAAATAAATGTTTTAACTATAAAAGTAATACATATTTATTATATGAGAATTAGAAAATTCAGACAAGTATAAGGAAAGAAAAAGGTCTCCTCAAGAGAAACCACTGTTAATCCCATTCTTCTATATTTTTTCTCTCTTTACACACACACACACACACACACACACACACAC